ATTGTCAAGGACTGTGTTTTTTAAAACATTGAAGTCAAGTTATAAGATAAAATTATTCCAGAATGTAGTCTAACATATTAATGAGTATCCTGTTTCTCTTTGCCTCCAAATGCAACAACGCAGACACAACATATTTGTTTCTCCCCTGTAACAAGCTGGCTGTGTGGCTTTAAACGAAGGGGGGGAAAACCACAGGACACCTATTTTTGGAGGTCTTAGGTTTACCAGCCATTGTTTCATCTGTACACGCTTTCATCAACACAAAAATCTCTCTGCATCAGAAGCAACAAGAGAGATCTAAAAAAAGAATCTAAGAATTTGAGATGTCCACCGCAAGGGCTGTTTATGCTTCACCTAGAGAATACAGAGAAATCACTACTCATCTAACCTATTTCCTGAAAGGAAATTGCCTCAATGGAGCTCATTTCCCTCGCCTTTTACCTTGCATTTTTAAAGCAATTGGGAGCTAAATATGAATATTCACAAACTATACCTGCAAAAAGGCTTGAATAATGGAATGTTTAAGAAATCTGAAAGAAAAAAAAAAGCTATCAAAGTATAATCAAGTGCAATGCATGTGTGTGGAATAAAATCTGCATGACGATTTGGCTTTAGGAAAGTCAGAGCAAAACCATTCTCTGAAAAAAAAAAAAAAAGGCTCATTGAGATTCCTTTCATTACGAGCACGGCGCTGCAGAGAGGCACAGAATGGGACAGACAGACAGAAAAAAAGACGAGAGCAATGATTTCAGATCACACAGGCTGGAGAACCGTTGCATCATATTCTAAAATCATCACACTTGAATTGTATTGTAAAACATTAATACCCTTGAAAGAAAAATATTGTACCCCCAACCCATTTTATTGTGATTCGTTAAAATATCATCCAGTGAGGCCAACTGCCTAAAGAGGTCACCTAATTAGTACATATAATCCAACTGTGAGCGACATAATCTCCGTATAAATCCAGCTGTTCATTGAAGAGCTCAGAGATTTATTTGCCTTAAAAGAAAATTAGCAAACAAACCGTAGACCTGCTCTTATCTTATCTTACACACATGCACACAGGAAGGATCTGACAATACAGTGATATGAATTCCATACGATTTGCCTTTTGAAATATACACAGCATTGTAAATAGTCTTAAAAAGCATAAAACAATAGATCAATCAGAAAAAAAAAACTTAAAGCAGATATTACTCCATGGAAACCTCTTATCTGAATCTAGATATCATGTTTTACAGTAAGGGTGTCAGGATTTCCTCTTTTTCAATGAGCTGTTATTCTAAACAAATAGAGTTTGCTACTTTAATTGGTAGAATGATGAAGTCAAACAATATTTCATCCTGCAGTGATCATGTAATGACATAAACAACAGCTCAGACTGGTACTGCGCTGTTGGTGGGAGATTTGAACCCATTCCGAACACAGATAGCCATGCTAAGCAGATCATCTGCACTTCTTAACTTGCAGTTATCTAACATAACAACTCAACATAAAATAACATCATGGCAGTATATGAAAGATTTTATTCCGTCTGATGCATGCCGCTCATGTCCCCCATCAGAACTAGTTTAGCTTTTTCACTCCTGCTCTCCCCTCTTTGTTCCATATATATATATATATATATATATATATATATATATATATATATATATATATATATATATATATATATATATATATATATATACACGCCTTTCCAACCAGCATCTCTATTATGCACTAATGTTAGGCACAAATTCATCATGTTTTTTCTAAAGTCACCATGAACTAGTAATTATGATGATGAAAAAAAAAACATATTGACAAAGATTTCACCAGAGTGTTTGAGGTTAAAGTCAACCATCAGCCTAACCATTAGTGGGGTTTTGGAATACTGGGGCTGCATAGGTAGGATACGCAGGATAGGGTTCGGAGTTGAAAGCTTATTATTGGGTATGGATTATCCAGGGTTGAGGTTCCTTAGATCCTGGCTGGATAGATGAGTCTAGTTTGGCTGGCTTAGGTTTTTCCCCAGATTGCTCCAGCCCATGCTGTGGCTGCATAGTGGTGCTGTATTGGTTTGGCTGTTGTGGGACAAAATAAGAAATCAGCATCTTGGTGTAATTCCCTATTGTCTTTTCACCATCCTCCTCTGCCAGTTTGTGTCATGCAAGCCTGCACCGACTGACTCCATGGCTGTTTAACAAGCTGCTATAGGAACACACATACACTAATGCCCAGGGGAAAAAATAGCATATTGTTGAAATATCAACAGAGATGATTTATCAAGCACTAAATCTTAACTAATACTGATATTAAAGCTGCTAAAAAGAGATGTTGCCAAAGCGCATTTTGTTGTGTTCTGTACAATGACAGTAAAGCTTCTTTGTCTCCATGCTTCTACCTCTGTAAATGTGTTGGTTTAGATGAAAATTGGAGATATATAGATGCCTGCAGGTGTAAAAGGGAGCTAGGGATGCAGAGATATGTTGTGCTCTGGTGCCCATTATTCTTGTTTGACATCCCACAAACTAGCTTACCATGCCCTCCCTACTTTGGTTTATCAAAACTCTGATTGGTGCAATGGGCTGGTGAATGCTTGGCATGTTGGGGACTTCGGTAGGGGGGTGTTATGTCAAATCCTTTACCTAGGAGCTGCAGTTCCCTTTACTTACAACCAACATACATATGCCTTTGGAGGGCGTTTGGTTGCCTTGGGTGATGAACTTTCCCCTCTGAAGATAGGTCCACCTGCCCTTTGCTGGTTTCTGATTATGCAGGCATTCCACCTCTTTAACAACTGTCCACGTCCAGATGACACTATTTATTTTTATACAGGACTTCTGAAATGTTCCAAAACCAGTGTGAGAAATAAGGGAGAGAACATTATTATGCAAACCCAGGAACACAAAATAAGGTTCAGGGGAGATGCTTGAGTCAGGATAAAGTTCTAAAAGTTGGTTCCGTCAGTAAGCTTCAGGGCAGCTGTGGCTACAATGTAGTTTGCCACCATCAGTGCGTGGGTGTGTGAATGGGTGAACGACTGAATGTAAAGATCCTTGGTCAAGTCTTCTGACTTGAAAAAGCGCTGTATAAGTACAGGCCATTTTATCATTTATTTACCATAAAACAACATCACTTTAATTCCTCTTCCAGGAAAACAAACAAAAACATGACACGGCCACAAGCATTAATCACAGAAGCAGTTAGATAAACCACCACAGGTGGGAACCTCTGTCCACAGTCAGACACTCCACAAATCTGGCCTCCATGTTAGAGTAGCAGGAAGAAAACATTTGTTGATGGAAAGCCATGAGTTGTTAAATTTTCTGTTTTCCAAAAAAAGCTTATTGTACACAGCATATACATAGGCCACATTACATTTATGACTTGCATGCAAATGTGTTTCAGAAAACGAACAGAATGCATTATCACGAAAATACCATTCATCATGTTTGTGACTTTTAAGCAGGCAAAAGGGAAGTGTTTTTTGTAGGCAAGTTGGATATAGGTACAGCTTACATACAGCTTATTGCTTAAAGGTATAGTGGAGGATGTTCGTTTTCTGGGTGGATTGTCAAAGTAAGTGTACCTCCTTATTGTCAATCATTCTGGTGATATGTTAACTTACGGGCGTCCTACTTGCTTTTGCCCATTTTCACCTAACCCTATGCAGAGACATACCTGGTTGCTAAGAATTATCTCCCCTCAGATGAGAAAACAGATTGAAATATGAGCAAAATGGGGAATTTCAAACATATTCTTAATTGTTTCATTTGTCTTATGCATGAATACCCTAAGATTTATTTTTTGTGGACAGATAAATTAGAATGAATATGATTTTTATTTGTATGGAGACAAGTTTTAGTCAATGTGCAAAAGTCAGTGTCCGATGAAAGTATTCTCTGCTCAGTGGATGGCATTTCCTGCTTTTGCTATCATACCATTCTATATCATTTCTGAAAAAACATTAAGGATATGCTTAAAAGTTTCATTCTTCATTCATATTTCTATCTGTTCTTCTTTTTAAGAACGTTGCAGACAGCATCTTTTAAACAGAGCATGCAAAGGTAGAAATGGGCTTGCGCATGCCCTTGCGCAAGCCCAAACAAACAGCTCTGATCTCAGAGATTGCCCGGGTTTAATAGACATTCCCTCTCAGGAGCGAGTACAGGGTTGTGCATGTGCATTTTTTTTCTTAAAGTCCAGACCAGGAAAGATTCAGGATTTAATAAGATTTAGTTCAGCTTACAAAGAAAAAAAGTTAATATTTACATCTTTGCAAACCAGCTTTACTTCAAACCTTGGAACAAAAAGAACAGTTTTGGAAAGTATTGACACTTTTCAAGTGTTTAGAAATCACATATTTTCTCTCCACTTCACTACTTTGTTTTAGTGTATTATTAAATGTCCCAATAGAAACCACTAAGGCTGTCATGATTCTGCCATTTGTGGACTTTTTGGTTCTGTTTAAGTTTCTTTTTGAGTATTCAGTTACACTTTGATTTTTGTCATTCTGTGTTTTCTTGGATACTGGTTTATTTTCCATTTTGTGTCAATCTAGTTGTTTTGCAGTTATATTTAAGCAGCGTTGCATTTTTTGAGTTACTCTCTGTTTCCCCTTGCGCCAGTGTCCTTTCCCCTAGTTTTCTCATTGCTACTATCCACACCGACTCCCTATCTGCAGATTAGCCCAGTCTTTGTTCTGTCTCCCATTTATACACCTCCTGTGCAGTTCCTCATTACTGGAATCTCCTTATGGCTTCACTCCTCATGCGTGTTTCTCCCTTGGCGTTGCCTGGTTTTGGTTTCCTTCCTGTTAATTCTTCCTGTATTTATGCTTCTGTCGCCATCTGCATCTAAATTTAATCTGCAAGAACTCCTCTGCCTCGTCATCTCTGCATTTGGATCCTCAACTCACTTCCACCCAACCTCACAAAGGTTTGTGTTTGTAATTTGGAAAAAAGTTCAACTTTTGAACCGCATGCAGAACAAAACGCAGACTCCTCAAAAGGTAAGCTTTAAGTCATTTATTTACAGAGTTGCTCTGCCTTAATCGAGAATGATGTGAAGTCTTAATGTAAAAAGTGCGGTCGAAGCAGATATTATTTTCAAACAAGATGCATAAAAGAATCCTAATAATTGTATTTACTTCTCTCTAACAAACATAAAGCCACAAACACATGAAAATCAAACCTTTTTCTTTCTTAACAGGGAATTTAATACCACAAAAAAAGAAGCATGATCCTGCAGGTTTCTCTCGTCACATTTACAAAAAAAATATCTAAAAGCTGAAAGTCAAGCTCTTACTCTGGAATCTCCCGGAGATAGACTTAAAAACACAAAAAAACAAAAAACAATAGGGAATGTAGAATCCTTGAACATTTGTACAGTTATAGTGTGTGATACAATATGATGATACAAGTAGATAACTCCATTGAATTCTTCTCACTCATGGCGCATAATGGCAAATATGTTTCTCATCAGTATAATTATTGCAATGGCTTTCAATACGTTAAAGTTCATGGGTTGTTGTCACATGTAGTTTCCTCGTCGATTTGCTGCAGCACGCCTGCATCACATAGCTGATGGCTGGCCGGCTAGGAATAGACAGAATAAATGAACATTACATTTTTTTTTTAAAAGAAAACAGAAATCCTTTACCAAGTTGGCTTAGCTGGATCGATGACTCACTTTTGAATCGCATGTAGCAAGTGTTACAGTAGAGCTGTTTGTTTCGTATTCTGACTTCAGCTCCGGCCTCAGTTCCACCGAGGTCTGATTTACAGTCGATGCACTGTGTGGGTTCAAAGTGAGAGGAGAGTCAAACATGGCATACATGGAAAATAAAGCATCCACAGAGGCTGTGGTGAGGACAGACAGGCCACAAAGCTTCATTAAGGGTGAAGAAAAAGTGAAGAACAGTCAGTTGTCAAGATACAGATCCAGGAGATCAGATATGATTGAAGAACAAAGTCCCTGAAAAGTAAAGATCTCAGAGATTGAAAGGTTTGAACAGAGAGAAGAATTCAATTCCCAAAAGTTAGTAAAACTAGAAAAAAAAGTTTAGAGTGACCAAGTTAGTATCTCAGCATCAGCCACGGCATGCAGATGACACCCTCCACTGTGCCGTCAGACGTCCTCCAATCTCACCTTAAAACAGTTCAAATGATAACAGAGCCCAAGGGACTCGATGATCATGGCTGCTCCCTTTCCCAGCGGGGTGTCGCAGAACGTGCAGATTTTCCTGCCACTCACTGACCTGGGTTACAGAATGGATAGCTGTGATTTTAGAGCGGGGGACATATGAAGCTGTGCATGTGTGACTGCAAGCACACATTAAATATATTATTATGCTGTTAAACATCAAAGCTGAATTCCTTTTCATAATTTGCATTGCAGTATGGCTGCTTTGATTGTCAGGTTGTAGTTCATCCAGTATTCAGATTGAAGAATTAAAGAGAAAATTTTTTAACTGGCATTTACTCAGGTTTAAGGTCATCTTTAGAGTGCTGGACAGAGGTTAACTCAGACTTGTCAGCGTTAATGTCATATGTATTTGAGGCTTTTTATGATTAATCAAAATCATTTGTTTCCCATAGTGGAATAGATAAACAACACACAATTTCAAAGGATTTTTGACAACAAGAAAGTATAAAATCTGACATTTATTGTGGATCAATTTTCAAAATATACTCAGGTTTAAATAAAAGTAAACAACCCTGTTAATACCTGTTTATACAGACCATAGCAGGAACCAGTTTCAAGGGTCTCATTTATAAAAATTGCCTATGCAAAAAAATTGACTTGCCCGTTATCTATAAAAAACAAGCTTGGTGTAAAAAAACAAAACAAAAAGTGTGATCCTGTCCATCCGTACAGGTTTGTATGTATTGGAAACGGGGGAAATTGGTGACTCAGTTGGTGACTGAGTGACTGAGGTGAAGAAATGAAGTCAATTTGCATCGTAAGTTCTCTCAGATGTTTAATTTCACTTTTATTGTAGACTGACTTTATCGTTTCCAGTGGCTGTGTGAAAGAGGAATAGCCATGAGGTAATGAATCTAATTGTTGCAAAACAATGTCATAACACCATGTTGGAAATAAACGTTTTACTTTGCTTTTGCCAGACCCTATCTGGCCATGACAGAGGTGTCATTCAATTTTTTTTTTCTTTTTCAAGGTTTTTATTTTCATTACATTGTCACAAGTACCGAGCAACGAAATGAACCCTCTGCATTTAACCCATCCCCTTGGGAAGAAGTGGGTTGCCATTGTGCGGCACCCAGGTAGCAGTGTGAGGTTATGGGTCTTTTGCTCAGGGACCCAGAGTGGCAGTCTGTGGGAGTGGGGCTTAAACTCAGAACCTCTGATTCCAAGCGCAAAGCCCTAACCACAAGGCCGCCACTCCTGGAATGAAAAATAATGATAATTAAACATCATTGATCTCACAATGGAGAAGTTGACTTCTGCATCTTAACCCATTCCCTTGGGAAACAGTGGGCTGCCACTGTACGGGTTGCTCAGGGACTCAGAGTGTAGGCTGTGGGGATCGAACCAGGTACTTGCAACCTTCTCAGAGCTCAAATGCGCTGCTTTAACCATTAGGCTACCACTGTCCTGAACTAGTCAAAGTCAACGTATAATCACAAAAGTTGTGAAAATATTCTATGAAGATTGAAAAGTTACTTAGTGTTGGTTTAATATAGCCTCGTGAGACCATCCTGATCTCGCGAGCTTCAAGGTTTCACTCGCAGATCAGTCTGGAGACTCTCCGCTAAATAAAATTTGGAGCCGTTCACCAAACAAACGTCCAATCAGCGTTGGCTTTGAGGCGGGTTGAGGTGTGACGCAACGAGAAGCGCCACAGTTCATGGCGGCTTCAGCCGATGAAACTAGCGTTAGCATGGCTATCGGAATTACAGAGTACTTCTTCAATGAAAGAAGAGCAAAACACTAGGTTTGTGTCAAAATCATCAAACCAAGTTTATGGGAATTTCTTATGTAAATAATTTGAATTAATCTTAAAATTTGGGTAAAATATATCCTTGAGTGTAGGGCTGCAACTAACGATTATTTTAAAAATCGATGAATCGGACGATTATTTTTTCGATTAATCGATGAATCGGACAAAAAATATTTTTTATATTAACCTCTTTATTCCAAAATAAACATTTTAGACAGAACAAACAAGCACACAAGTACAGGTTGCTCATTAACTGTACTGGTGCAATATGAAAAATAAATGTTTGTGTTAAAACTACGCAAACTTACATGAGAAATGTAGCTGTACATCCACAAAATATAGGGTACTTTGTTTCATAAAGCGCAAAAAAAGACATTTTTGTTTTTAAAGCCCCTAAGGGGTTCAAACAATAGGTCCCCCATTTCAACAAATGAGTTTTTTTAGACTAGAAGAGTTCGGCCTTTTAAGACAGGAAAGTACAGCAGTTAAAGTTGCTACTTGAGAAAATACTGAACCATAGAGATAAAAATAGCCCTGTGATTCAAATTATAAATTGTATTTGGAATAAAAATGAGAGAACTAGGGGTGCTAAAAAAACACATCCTCCAAAGACAGATATTTACATGGGAATGTGGCAGATAATTAATTGACATATTACTGATCTTGCTGGATTTTATTCTGCTTTACTTCCATAAATTGCAGGATCTTCTTTACTTTATCTTTGCCAGAAGATTTCAACTTTAAAAGCCTTGCCCTCATAATTTGCAAGTTAATTTAATTATAAAGTAAATGTAAACGCTGCTTAAGCTAATTCAAATGAAATTAAAAGTAAAATAAGTAGCCAACCTTATCACTGTCTGTAACCTACTAACCAGGTAAGGAAAGCATCAGATGAGCTACCTGAGAAACTAACGTTACGTTTCCCCACTTTAAAACCAAACAAACATGGTGGTTCCGTGCCATGTTAATTTCTTTTGAAAAAAGTTGCATGTTATCACTTTTTTCGCTTTACAAAGCGCAGGCTATTTTAATTATTGTGATCAATTTGCGCCGTCAATCCCAGTGCATGCGCGCCTCATTTGCAGTCTGGACGCTGAGGCTTTGACTGCAGCGCTGAGAGGGACTCCTGCGGGAGCGGGGGGAGGCGCCCCACGGCAGAGTAGGAACGATGCATGCTTTCACGTAAGAGTCTCCAAAAGCCGCCAGTGACACCGAAAAAATTCGCCAGATTTGTCGCTAGTCGCTTTTTTGAAAAATAGTCGCTGGAGGGGTCTGAAAAGTCGCTGAGTTGGCAACACTGCACCTGCGGCGCTGACTCGCTCTGCCATATTTTTTTTTCTTCCTCTTTCAGTCAAGAGGCAGTGATGACGGCGCGGCGGATGACGCAATAATCGCGCGACACAACTAATCGATGATGAAATTCGTTGCCAACGCTTTTAAAAGTCGATTTTTATCGATTTTATCGATTCGTTGTTGCAGCCCTACTTGAGTGCACCACTGTCATGGATAGTGTACATTGCTTTATAAACGAGACCCCAGATCTGTATGTATGACAAAAATGAAATGTATTAAGGCACAGATCTGAATGTTAATTTTGTTGCAACCTGATATAAACCACCCACAGACTCAAATACTGTATCCAAAAGCAAACTTAAACAGAATAAAATCTTGACATGCGTTAAAAGAGGGAAAAAGATCTAGAATGTCCTTTGTAACCACACCACCTCATAAATATGAAATGTAAAAATACCAGTGTTAAGATAGAGGAAACTTGTTGGGGGGCCTTTAGAAACACGGCAATGTTAGTCTTTACCTGTTCCGCTGCTGATAAGCCTCAGATGTGAGGTCTGGAGAGACGGTTGGCGATGGAGTAGAAGGGGAGAGGGGTGTACGGGACCAAGGTGCTGGGTGCGTTCCTGCCCCACCTCGGAGGGAGTCAGTAGAGTAGGAGGAGGGTAGAGTGGAGGAAACGGCCCGACGGCCCCCCGACACTCCGGAATAAAAAGAAGAGTTTCCAGAGTAGCCAGAATAAGGCCGAGAGTAGTTTGGAGCAAAAGAGTTGCTCCTGGCGGTCCATGACGAGTGCCGAGTATTGTAGGAGTCCAAGTTGTCAAGAGATTCCCCTCTGCAAAGCCAACCCACACCACACCCATCCGTTAAGATGTTAGTCAAAGAAAAAAACCGTCTGGCTACCAACTGGTTTTAAATTTCTAACCAAATGAGCTCAATGGATGTCAATGAGGTAGACAGACGGTTTGATGTTTCAGCTTTAGTACCCCAGGTCTTATTAACAGTAAAGAACCGCCCACCACCCATTGAGGGGAATTGTCTACCTGCGCATGGGTGGCACCTCGCTCTCCCTGTTGATGGCCGTGCTGGCGGCGCGCTGACGGATCCAACTGTTGTCCGTTAAGAGCGGGGTCTTCTTCTTCATCTCATTGAGGATCTGCTGCCGCTCCAACTCAGCCTGGGATAGAGACTGTTGACTCTTCTTCTCCTCAGAAGCTCCGCTTCCTGTCACCGCATCTGGGAAGGAGAGATTAACAGTGTAATAATGTTTTTTATGAAATTATGCTTTTCTGCTAGATAAAACTTTCCTTAATGATTTAATGCACTACAGCAGAAAGAGTTCAATGCATGGAAAAAGTGTTCATACCCCATGTTATACCAACAAACCTTATTAGGTTTTTATAAAGATTTAATGAGATAAAAAAAAGTGAAAGAAAAATATATTTTTATAATCTTTGCAGCACAAAGACATCTATAAATTGTGGCATTCATTCGTTCAGCATCACTGAGTCAAGGCTGTGAGGAACTGCTCTTCTTTGCAAACGGCAAATCTTTCTGCAGCTACTCTATCCTTCTACAAGCTCTACTAACCTTTGCTAAAAGACTTTAATTTCTGCCCTATCTTCTCTATGAAATAACTGAGACAGCTTGAATAAAGAGCATCAGCGAAATCAATTTTCTGGTTCTTCTACAAACTCGATTTGATATAGCTCTTTACTTTGAAAGATAGTTTTTTTTTTGCCCTGTATCTACCTACATCAATATTCTTATCAACCGTGAGCAGCATGTCCATTCTGGCTGAACAACAGCATCCCTGATGCCACGCTCACCTGTGTTAGGGGGATGCACTGATTTCTAACACAAATAGGGCTTTGCATGTTGCAAAATTTTCAATTTGGAAATGTACCTTCTGTACGTTCTTCTACATACTCTATTAAATTGAAGGAATTTTTTTTCAGGGCATCGGTGTAAAGAGGTCTAACTACAGATGTAGGCTCGTCTTTCAGATTTTGTCTTCTAAAAAAGGTTGAAAGCTATATCGGGAAAAATAAGTATTGAACACGCCACCATTTTTCTTAGTAAATATGTTTCTAGAGGTGCTATTGACAGGACATTTTCACCAGATGTTGGTAACAATCCATGCAATCCACAATCCACACAAACCATAGCTGTCCAGAAATTAAGTTGTACGTAATAATGTGGAATGGCACAGGGAAAAAGTATTGAACACCTAAAGAACGGAGGGAGCAAAAAGTCATGGAAAACCAAGACACAAGCAAAAATCTCTCAGTAGTAAGAAATCCTGCCCCCTGTCAGTGCAAATTAATATCAACTGGTTCAGTCCCAAATTGTGGCCTATAAAAAGGTGTTTCTAGTATAACACTACAAACATCTCATGATGGGTTAAAGTAAAGAGTTTTCTTAAGAGCTTAATGATGGCATTGGTTAAAGAGGGATTACTAAACTTCTGAATCTTCCAATGAGCACTGTTGTGGCCAAAATCGGGTGCAACCGGAAGAGTTATCCAGGAGCATAACCCCAATTGTGGAGAGCTTCAGAAAGACCTGTAATTAGCAGGTATAATTGTTTCAAACAAAACAGAAACTAATGCACTCAACTGACATGGCTTGTATGCACGCTCACCACGCAAGACTCCATTGCTGAGGAAAAAGCATTTTGAAGCCCCATGTAAAGGTTGCTGCACAACATTTAGACAAGCCTGTAAAATATATGCATACACATCATGTTCGGAGGTCAAATGGCACTGCACATGACCCCAAAAACACCATACCACCAGTTTGGAGGAGGGAACATCATGGCGTGGGGCTGTTTTTCAGCATACGGTCCTGGCAAACTTCAAATAATTGAAGGAAGGATGAATGGAAAACTGTACAATTCTTGATGAATTGCACAGGATGAGGAAGATGAAACGTGGGTGGACATTTCATCTAGATAATGACCCCAAACACACAGCCAAGGAAACTCTCAAGTTGTTTAAGAGAAAAAAATACAGCTGCTATAATGGCCCAGCCAATCACATGACTTGAATCCAATAGAAAATCTTTTGCAAGTACTAAAGATCAGAGATTATAGAAGGGGTCCAGCCCTCAAGATTTATAGACTGTTTGTGTGGAAGAATGGGCCAAAATCACACCTGAGCAATGCATTCGACTAATTTCTTCTTACGGGAGGCGTCTCGAAGCTGTCATTGCCAACAAAGGCTTTTGTGCAAAGTATTAAATAAATTTCCCAAAGTGCGTTCAATACCTTTTCCCTATGTCATTTCACTTTATTACACATAATAAATTTCTAGAAGTCTATGGTTGGATTTCTTTGCATGTGTGGGTTGCATTGCTTGTTACCGAAATCTGTTAAAAACATCATGTCTTCAACAACTTCTTATTGACTATTCTTGTTGATCTATGTTATAAAATCATGTTGAGGTTTCTGCAAAATCCTTTAAGGGGTATGAAAACTTTTCCAGGTTGCTAAACAAATCACTTTAATCATGCCTAACAAAAAAAAGTATCTGAAAGTTATTTCATTGCAATCAAATAGCTTCTGTTCTGCCGCGGGTGCAGTAATAGAGTCTCTTTATCTTAAGCCAGCTGATTAACGTGTCATTTTGTTGGTCCAGGGCAAATCAAATAGCTGTGAATTTTGATTTAGTGAAACGACAAATCAGTTGATCATGATGGAAGCAGACTGAGAGAGATTCATAAAAATGAATAGATGGCGGAGCTTCCAGGAACCGAGCCGACCTCTTTCTGCCTCTCCGTATCTCATGGCTCTGAAGTTGTTTATCTTTTCCATCAATGATGCAGTCCTCTGCCTTTGGGTTTCTTTGGCACGTAAAATCTTCAAATCTTCCAGCAACCTGAGAGACGTGCCCTCTGGCTGCAATAAAACACCTACGTACAGCGGAACAGGTCCCGCACACACACACATGTCGTCACATACAACTACATGGGAGTCATTCAGGAAAGAACCTGGAGGAAGAAGTAAATGAGCTAAACTGACCTCTCCTCTGAGGCTTGTCGTCCTCATCAAGCTGGGGGGACGACTGAGATTTTGCCCTGTCAAATAAAAGATTGAAAACATAATTAGAAAAGAAAAGCTATAAGAAACCCTCAGTTCAAACATTGCTGGTAAAGCTTGTCAGGTGTTTGAACCTTAATGTTTCCATTCCTAAGGGCAGGGATTTAATTTTTTCATAGCTAAAAACCTCAGTAAAACCCACTTTAACATCTGAAGGTTTGAACCAAGAAGCAGCTTACTCTACAGAGAAAATTTTTTATTTATTTTCCCATTTTGGTAGATTTGCACTTGAATTACCAGAAGCATTTTTTAAGAACTTTAGGTAAACGTACGTATTCATATTATAAACGTACACCTATAAATATAAGTTCACACAAACACCATAAAAGTTAAAGTTATATTGGTTTTAGGCTTTAATAACATTTTCTTTTGTTAAGATAAAATAAAAAAATATATAAAATATTTTTTTTTTAAATAAATGAAGGAACAGTGTGGTATTTTGTAGCATTTAAAACCCTTTGATATTGGTAGCCACCAACATTTTGCTACATTAGCAATAGCATAGCTTGGTATAAATATTCTCCTTCTAGGAAGAACTGGTAGAGACCTAACTTTTTAAACATGGACCAGAAATTCTCAAAAGAATTAAGTTGGGACCACTCACAGATTTAAGTTTACCTGCTTTGTGTGATGCACCAGTACAACTGGTTATGAAATAGTCACGCAGCATGATGCTGCCACCACAATGCATGAGACTTTGCAGTCCTAACCTTGACGACTATAAACATAATTAAGTTGACCGTGCAGTGGCTATTTAGTTACATTTTGTTTAATTTTTTCATGTAACCTCTTTCCAGAAAGTATTTGGTCCATTCTCATGAGACTATTACATATTTTACTTGTGACTTCACGGCATCTCATAAATGCAGTTTAGGTCAGATAGTTAAAAACCAGTGCTGGATTTGATGCTCCAGCTGGATAATAAGCCCAAACATACATCAAACCTAGTTTTGGAATAGATAGCTGGCTAAGCTAATGGAATGACCTCCAATTCTTCTGAAACTAATGATCCCTAAGGTGCAACATGCCATTTATTTACAACATCCATCCATCAAATTCCTTAAACTAATCAAATAATCCTACAGCTGTTCTTTTTCTTTTTGTCTATTTGTTCTGTCAAATCTTTTCAAACACAGCTAAAAACAAATTTGAGTCCAAGCTATATAAAAAAAGAAACAATTCAATAAAATTATCACTTTAGGCATTATGTTAGATCACTATCACTCTCAGCCAATAATATTTGATATTTGTCTCTGTATTTCACATCGTTTCTGCCTTTTCGTTCTGTAGCATTCGAATGCAGGGTTTATTTCTCTGAGCCAAAGACATACGTAGATGCTTAAGTCCTCCTGGAGAGCTTCTCCTAAATCTAAAGAAGTAACTAAGTTTGCTTAAAAAAAATCTGTGAATAAATATAACTTTGATAAAGTGCAAATCTGCGTTGTTCCTCCATCCATTTTTCCAAACTTGTATTACTGTAATCTTTGATGTTAGTAGACCATGGGGTGAATATGCAGGAAATACAGCAATGCTATAACCACTTTAAATGTTATGGCTTACAGAGAGGAGTTTGGCTGCAGGAGCATGTAACAAACCATAGAAGCTTTTGCAGCACTCACCTGTCAGTGAAGGACAGCGAAGGCTGAGCACTGTCAAAGTCGTGGGAGACAGCAGCCCTTTGGTGAGCAGGCGTATGCACAGACAGGTGGAATGATGGGGGGGGGGGGGGGGGGGGGCAGAGCAAATGTATTAGTTGCAGTTAAGTTAATGAACAAATAAAGCGCACTAAATGATAGGAAGTCATGCGAGTTAAAGTGTTGGGACAGTACAGGAGGTGCAGGAGCATTTCTATTGTACTGACCACCTCTGCTGCTCAAAGGCTTTCTGCCTGCGCTGCTGCTCTGCCGCCTCCAGCTGCCTTCTCTCCTGCTCCCTGGCCTCCCCTTTCCTCCTCAGCTCTTCATCTTTCATCCTCTGCATTCTCAACTCCTCCTCCCTCTCTTCCCTTCTTTTCCGCTCCTCCTCCTCCTCCTGAATTTCCCTCCTTCTCCTCTCCGCTGCCTGCCGCTGTCGCTCCTGCTCCATCTTCCTCTGCTTCTCTTCCTCCTCCCACAGAGTAGGTGTGGGCTGCTGGACAGAAGATGGGGGCGATTGTGGACTCACACCGTGGTTCACCTGGAGACTCCTAGGCTGCTGGAGAGAAGGAGAAGATAAGAAAGGGAGAACTAAAGCAAACAATGTCCTTCATCTTTCCCAACATTAGAAGGAGCCACTTTTTAAACAGACTTAGATAATTCCACTAAGAATATGAATATCAAGATAAATAACTGAATTATTTAACTTCAAGAAGGATCATGTTGATAATACAGATGAAGATTTTATAATAAGAGTTTTTATTGCATGATATTTATTACAAATATCATGAATAAACCTTCTTCTTGTCCTGCTTTTTCTTTGCCTTTTATCTGCAACAGTCCTGCTTTTAAAAGTTAAATATAAGATTGTGACATCACCTAATGGTTTTATAATTACAGGATTTCTTTTCACAAAAAGGTTTTTGGATACATTTGGACAAACTTCAACTGTGACTCATGACTAATTGGTACCCTTGAAGGACAAGTCATACATATTTTCAAGCGTTAATCCAGAGCAGTGAAATACTTCCATTACCTGTTGGTCGCCTCCGCTTGTCACAATCTCCTGCTGGGCCTTCAGCCACTCCTCCTGCAGCTTCTCCTGATCACGCTTATATTTTTCCTGACAGCAGAAAGAGGTCTATTAATGCACAAACACTTTTTTTTCTCATATATATAACACACAGAAACGAACAGCGTCTTGAAAAGGGTATTTATATCCCATGAGCTCTTATATATTTTGTGACAGAAGAACAAAACATTTTCAATAGTGCAAAATTGTGATGTGAAAGAAAAATTAAAAAAGGATAAAAGAAAAGAAATCACAGATGTCCCTTGGTCATATTTTTGTTAAACAATTTTTTGAACGACTTTTCCATCCGTTTAGCTTCAATGTGTCTACTAATGAAAAGCAACACAACGCTTTTACAAATGCTTTTATTCTAAAAGAATGTCATCTTGATCCTATACAACTTGTCCTCCAAATTCACAGCATATTGAAATGAACATCCTTCTTATCCTGACCTCTCTCTATTGGCTCTCTGTGAATTTGTTTATATTTTATTATCAGCTTATAAATGTTTAAACCGTTCTTCTCCTCCTTACATCTCAAATCTACTCCTGCCTCATCTTTCAGCTGCTTTTATTTGTCTCAAAATTAGGCAGAAATTTAAGGGAGATCACTTCCTTCAAATGTTAGACAAGCATCTTCCCTTTATTAAAAGCATTCTTCTTTAATAGCTATAATAAACCTTTGAGGCTTTTACAGGGCGACTATAATACACAGCGGTCAACTGTTTAGTTAATTGGTGATTTCTGAAGGCTGTCTTTTGAATTGTTAGTTTTAGAGGTATAAGAGTAAATAACACTAAATTTAATTTCACTCCAATGTTTTAAGATTGTAATAAAAATCATAATAAATTCACAAAACCATGAATCTTTTTCCTTTCACTTCTCAAATATACAATACCCTCTGGTACTCATATAAGGACCAAAATAAATACACTGATGTTTCTGGTTTCAATGAGACAGAATGTGAGAAATGGGAAGTGTTGCGAATATTTTCACACAAAACTGTGCATACTGTTCCTTTCAGCACAAATGACAGCTACGGATTTAATAGTATGTACCGCCTACAGAGAGAGTTCAGCAATAATGTCTCCATAATAGAGTTAAGGTCACCTATATCTTATGTAATGACTGAGAGAGTCCTCCTCTGAAGAACCTATTAAACTTTGCCCAGCACATCTTGAAATCAGCACTTTTATCTGACAGGGATGAAGACTGCTGTAGCAAGAAAGCCTCTGAGATTCATCACGAAATACCACCTCTGCAACTTGATCTAGGCCTTTAAAACCTCATTTAAATTCAGATCTTCAATCACTTAGTCTTCATTTTTATCTCTGCTAAGTTTAACTTTCTTACAAAGTGGAGAAAAGAATAACGTTGGTCAATTGTTATTGACTAAACAAACTGTTCTTAGTTTTACAGTGATAATTTGCTCCCCAAAACAGAAAGTTAGACCAATTAAGTGTGCTATGATAATTAGTACATGCTTCCTACATACCTGTAAGAGGCGCTCTTGCTCCTTTTGCCATTTCTCTTGTCTCTTGCGCTCCTCTTCAGGGTCCCACGACCAGCGGCTAGAGGAGGTTGGAGTGATCGGAGGAACAGGGATCTGGAGACACCCAAAGCAATCAGGAAGTTGACACTTTTAAACTTTTCTACACATTTATCCTTAAAATGCTTTGGTGTTAGTTAGCTTTTCTAAAGCCAGGGGAATACATAACAAAGTTTCTCTGAAAATAGAGCTTTTCCAAGTCTTGGAAAAAGCTTTTAAAATTTGCATCCTGTAAATCTGTCCAATTATAAATTACAGGTTTCCAAATCTTCAAATTACATTACACTTTTTTTGATGTGCAGGAAACCCCAGCTGTTTAGATCTAAATGAGCGTTTCATATGCTCTTGTTTGGATCCTTGCAAGGTTCAACCTTACTTGTTAATAACTAGTCCGTCTTAGAAATACGAACAAATTAGATCCCATATAGACAAAAGATAACATGAGTTTTAGGTTTGTGGGAAGAACCCGGGGAGAACATGCAACATCTCCTGCAAAACATCACCCTCAAGTCCCAGCATGTGCTCATCACTCTACAGGTTTCTTTAGAGTATTGTATTCTAGCTGTCTTCCTGTATATTTTGAGCACCATTTTTGTTGCTGATAAGGAAATGCATCCCATTACAATGGTGCTGCCAGAGCTTATTATAGAAGGCTGAATATATCATAATTTTCAGACTTTTTTTCTTTTAGAAAATCTAAAACTCCTTTTTCTTTACCCCTGCCATAATGTTCATAAACACTATAAAACACGACATTGGAGGTTGTGGCGTAATCAAAAGAGTACAAAGCTGTGTAGCTGCAGATAATACAATGTGTAAAGGCCAGACACTCTTAATAGTGTGTCTGGGATTCATGGACAGCGATTAACGGTGTCTGCTTTCACAGATGTTGTCATGGTGAAAGAGCAAACATAACACAGAAGAAAAGAACATTTCCTCTGACAAACTGACACTACTTACATCTGGGACGGAAGACTCTGATCCTCCTGGGAAAGAAACAACATTGAGTCAATACCTGAGGCATGCACGGGCAGAGCAATGCAGCACATGTAAATAGACAAGTTAACCCTGAGGCCTGAGAATACATAAACATCCAGATAATGGCTTATTAAAGCTCCGGTTTAAATAGAAAGTGTTGATATGTGTTTGGAAATTAAAACTGAAACCAAAGCACCAATTACTGTCTTCACCAAGCCTCAGGTAACAGCTCAAATTTCTACTCATTAGGATTCATTGAGACTCGTCACAGCATATCACAAACATATTGACATTTACGCCTGATGTGCATTCAATATCTGTAAAAGGGAAATCAATAACCTGATTGCAAAAACCCAATCAAACAAGCTGAAATTAGCAATCAGCATGCAGGAGCAGGAAAAGAGAAGAGAATAAGGACAGCGCCAGTATGACAAGCAGACATGCTCAATAGGTGCATGTCAGGAATGCTTGAAACTCAATGAAGCTTGTAGAAAAGTGTTAATCTCTTAATACCACAAATGCAACAGGATTCAACGAATGTGCTTTTGTGGTTGGTACGTTGGGATACTGTCACACTACAAACCTTTGGCAGCAGAATGAGCTGCTTTAATTTGCAGGATTATAATCCTTTTTTTTTTTTTTTTTTGTGATAGGCATCATTGTTGGAGATAAAATATTGACCAGATTTGGTTTAACCAGGATGTCAGCATCCCAAGCTGTACCAAGCAAAGGTAAGGAGGTTACTACACACAATAAACTCTGTTTACCACAGAGGAAGGCCAGCGCACTGACACTAGACTCTGAGTCTCCTGAGGGAGGGAAGGGGTACAGCGTAAGGGTTAAGCTTCAACACCAGACCAGAAAAAGTACAAAATAAAAAAAGATCCCTTTTTTTCTTTTTTAAACCTCTGCACAAAATGTCAGGAAAACATGCAGCACTGACTCTGCAGTCAGGAGAATACAAACGAATAAAAAGCACAGAGAAGTCTGCCATCAGCATACACAGAACACAGAGTCAGCATCAGGAACCACATACATCCCTTTCAGGTGTTCTTCTTTTTGAGTTTTACCTTGTTCAAAAAACTCTGACCTCCGTTTAAAGTTTTTCAAAGATATTGGTTCTGACTCTACATGAGAAATGGAAAACAGGGTTAAGTGACAGAACAGAAGAGAAAAAAATTAGTTCAAACTGAGGAGACCGAGCTAAACAGTCAGATTGGTTGGCAACATATGGAAAGATTAATATCAAACTGAAAAAGCTGGAAAAGTTATCAAACCTTTGGTTTGAGCGCAGTTATTCAGTAAAAAAAAAATCTATGGTTTAGAGAAATGTTATAATAACATAAAAATACACTGTCAGTAATGCAATAGTTTTTTTCTTTATTGTTATTTCCAACTCAATATAATAAACTCATGAAGCTTGATGTACAAATAAAAAAACAAGAAAGCAGTGATACGTTGAATAATCTGAAATCTAATAGATGTGTTTGGTTTTTTCACAGCTTTTCTATTTAAAATGTAAATTCAGTGTTATGAATATGAAGCAGGGTGGAGGATCTGTGATTCTGTGGGCTTGTTCCTGGGGTGCAGGATATTTGGAGCACCAAAAAAATCTGGTGTACTCAGTTAGAAAATGGAAAATTGTTTCCCTGGTGTATCTTTTAACAGGACTGCCTTTAAGAGATGGCTAATTCAAAATTGACCCAATTCATGATTCAATTCTAGTTGATTAACCCTATTTGGTAGGAAACAGATGAGTCTAGGTGACCTAGAAAGAGAAAGTGTAAAATGGAAGGTCAAAGGTCCACTTCTCAGCTCCAACCCTCAGAAAACTCAGTGCTGTTCTAGGACCAACAGGGAGTTTTACAATTATTAGCTGTTGTCTACCAGTAAACAGTGCCATTTTGTTAAAATCGTGTTATTTCTTAAAGAGTGATTTTTTTTGTTTGTTTACTGAGTAAAAGTACTCAAATTGAAGGTTAGATGTTCTAATTTTTTCAGCATGACATTACTGCACCACAATAAAAACGAAACCATTTTTACCAACCAATTTGTCTGTTCCGTATATCACCAACACATGGTCATGAATCACATTACTGGCCGAGCCTTAAGTATATTTCACAGCTTCGCTCTGGCCAAAAACAATCTTAGACACTTAGACATCACTTTTGTAACCTTTCCAACTTTTATCATTGCTCCTTACCTTTGTTCCTCATGGTCACTGGTTCATGATGGAAGTCCCCATTAACTTTGTCTGAAGCCACGTCCTGCAGGGAAAGATTTTAGGCTTTACACTCAATGAAAGTCAATTCAGGACAGTTTGGTTGGCAAATGAAGAATCGGTTACTTTTCCATGGCTACACTGCAGGTTAGTGATTCGTTTACAGCTTCAATAAGCTGAGGGAAAATAAAGTCAGAGTCACAGCAAAATATTGATATTTTTTCTTTTTGTTTCTTACATTTTGAGGTATTTCTGAGGTTCGTTTAGACTCAGAGAGTGAGAGAGTACTAACATTTTAGTAGATAACAGGAAGACTTATTGGAGTATGACACAAGTACTTTGTCCTTTTTTATTTCACGCTTATCTTTTAACCTCTATTTGTCAGAAAATGCTGGATTAGTAAGCTGGCTCAGTGAGACTACACCCCACATTTACTATACCTTATTGAATTTAACACATAATATTCAGTGCTAAAGACAGTTTAAGTCTGTGTAGATATAAACAATTAATGACAAATTATATGAAAGGTAAGGAAATATCATGTAAAACTTATCCAATAATAGTTTTTATAGAGCAACTGAACTTTATCGTCACTTACCACAAGAGGAAGAGTGGGCGGTTCTTTAGCCAGCACCGTTTCTGTGACTGTACGTGAAGTAAAATCCAGGCTGGAACTGACAGTCTTTATCTCAGGGGAACCTAGAAGTATCGGATGATCCGTACTGGTCAGATTGACGGTCTTATGGCTTTTAAATGGCAGGGAAGGTTGATCTCTGTCCCAGTCTGCATGCAGTAAATGCAATGGCAAAACAAATATAGATGGTGTGCTTGAAGGTAAACCCGTTATCTGTGCATGTAAGTGTATGTAAGTCCATGAGTTTGTCAGTGGGAACCCCAACATCTAGAAACAGAAGTTACACACACACCGCTATAAAGCAGGGGAGACGAGGGGTGATGTTATAGTGTTATTGTAGAGGGCAGCAGGGGGGGGCCACAGAGAAACCACCTTCCCCAGCCATGCAGCCTAGTAAAGCTATAAACCCATACAGCGTTACTTCTAGGCATGATATGACTGGGCTTTACTAAACCTTTTCAACTAGCTTTTCATGTTAGTTTCAGACTACTCTGGGTGGTTTAGTTCTTATATGACACTGACATTCTTAAAAGGCTAAAAGTTACAGTGCCGTGAACCTAAAGAAGGTTAGTTTTCCAGAGGAAAATGTATTTATAAATACAAAAAAATCAAGAGCAAAGAGAACAAACAATTTGGAAAAGATAGAAAATTTAAAAAAAAAATGCAAAGAAAACAAAACAGAGGTGAGAGAAAATACATCCCACCCTCAGAAGAGATAAGTATAAAAAACATCACAGGTCCTTCATCATTTAGCTGTCATGATATCATTCATGGATGACTTCACGATAGTTTATGGACCAATTTAAATTGTCAAAACTGTTTAGCAACGCCCAGAGATTAAGCAGCCTTGTCAGTCCAGGAAAGTAACCCCTAAACCTTTCCTTTATTTTCAGTCTCTTTGCTCTCACAGCAATCAGTTTAGAGATGACTCACTGTTCTGGCCGTGACGGCGCACATCCATGACCAGACTGCCCTTCTGCAGGGCCTCATGCAAGCTGGACTTCCACTGGTCATAACTCATCTGTGCCACTGGGAGCCCGTTTACCTTCAGCACTTCATCTCCGACCTGCAGCTGGCACATCTCAGCTGAGCTACCTGACAGTTACAAAAACAAACAAAAAGGGTTTTATTACAAGAAGCAAATTTATTAAATAAACCAGCTTCTGTGACTATGACACCTGAGGATAAGATGCAGCTCCAAAAGGTTTCCTTCCAAGAACAGAAATGTACAAACTTATTGGACCCCCTTTTAAATATATATTAAGGTCTTAAAATAGTTTTATCCTTTACTGGATTTGCATAATGTGACATGAAACAATCCAGTTGTTAATTTGGGCATTTTAATAAATAGTTTTCAGCAAAATCACTGAATTATAGAGCTTCCCCCACTGTCAATATTTGCTCCTTTTTGTAGCCCTACTGTTTGTGGTCGCTGGAAGTATATATTAGCGTTTTTCAGGTATATGGTACAAACTGCTCGTACCAAGATAATAAAAGTGAACATATTTTCCTGGCAAATATAATAAACAGTTTAATAAACAATAATAAACAGTTTCATTGGAGTGATCATATCTCTCTGCATCAGCAGCATTGTCCATCTCCCTCTGAGCCAAACATCAGCTTCTCTGATTGGTTGGTAGGATGCGTCAAGCAGCAAAAATTCTATTATTCCAACTCCAGTATCTTCTGCTTGTGAAGGGTGTCATGCTCAGAAGTTCAAGAGGCGCTGCTCTTGCTGCAGGACCTTTTGATGCACCTTAATGCGCGTCAACCATAGACTTTGCATGTAAAGCGGCTTCTTCTGCTGCCCAAAGCGCATTAGGTATGAATGTAGCATTAGCCTGAGCGGATCATAGCACAGTTAGAGCTCATATCTTTAGCCCAATTAAGAAAAGTCAATGTTTTCATTTGTGATGGTAAAATATAAAAGGCAAATAGCATCTGACAGTTGTCATGGATACTTGGTGATTCCAAGATCATCCTTTTTTCCTTAATTTTCTTCAAGCAAGCAGCAAATTTTCTCTTCTTACAGCCTTTTCAGTCTTTGCCACTGAATCCAATGGCCAAGCAGACTTCCAACTAGCCTCCTTTGTTGTAATCTTCCTTTTTGTAGCCTTTTTAAGTTATTGCCCTGATTGTAACTATGGGCAATCTAAGTGGGGGAGCTTTACATGTTGCCTATTACTCCGGCGTCATGTCATAAAAATGTACTTTAAAATTACAGCATTTTAAATCACATTTATTTAAATATCCATATGATTTTGTTAAAGCAATTACTTTCCAACGTTGCTTTTCCCCAACTAAATAGATGCACATAAACTGCTGATTTTTTCTAAAGATAACTGTTTCTGTTATGTATTTTATAGGACTTTAGCATGATACTGTATGTCTTCCACCGGATCTTGTAGTGAAAAAAAAATTCCTTATTTTCTTTGCTCGAGGTTGTTTTATATTTCTTTTAAAACAAAATATAAAAATTAGGGGAAGTTTGTAGCAGGTTTTATAATGTGGGATGTCAGCATAACTTAAAATACATGGCCTACTGTTCAGTGCTGGTGGGGAGCTGCAGTAGAAAAGAGAGGCTCAGACCCAGCAGATCTGACCCAGATAGATGCTGCCCTACATAGGGTTCTCGCATCACAACTGCAGTGGACTCAAAAAAACTGCTAGAGGCTAACTAGCAGTGTTGAAACTAGAAACAAAACAACCAAAGCTCAGGTGTTCATCTTTACCACAGCACTGACATTATGTAACAAAGCTTTAATAACATAAAAGAATGGCATTAACAATCTATGGTGACTTTTCATTGTAAAAGTTGAGGTTCGGCCTGATCTGTGCTGGTCTACCTGGTTGGATGGAGGTGACCCGAGCTCCTGTTGAGTCCCAGGCAGCCTGAAAACCAAAGTCCCGGCTGCTGTTGGGCTTCTGGTTCAGGCTGATTCGCATCTCGCAGAAGGCCTCCTGGAAACCACACAACAGTAGCATTAGGAATGTGGACTACCTTTACACACATCAATACATCAGGTCAAGTGTATCTGCAGACTTTGACTAGAATATCCTTGAGACTTTAGTCTCCTGTAGACTAATAATTTCAGTTTCACTTAAATACCTTGCTAGTTTCTTTCTTTGGAGTAGGACTGACTGGGACTTCACTCTTAACGGGAGGCAGATCAGCTTTGATGCTCTGAGTAGAGGACAGGCCTTTCACTGTGGTATCCTTCTCTTCCTCCTCCTCTTCCTCCTCATCACTGGTGGGTGAAGAGCTGGACTGATCCTCATCCCCTGAGTTCATGTACTGATGATAGCGGCCGGGGACTGACGCCTTTTTAGAAAGATCAACATTGCCGTTGACGCCCTTGTGAGAGTCGTCCGTCTGTGAACGAGGATAAAAGTTCAGATTTAGAATGACTTTTCACACATAAGTATAAATGAAGTATAACTGAGCTGTTAATCAAAGTAAAGTCCTTCTAATTTAAACTTAATTCTTTTAATATTTTTGTTATGTCACTTTTCTTTTTTTAATTAAATAAAATATAAGTTTATGCTTTCCTCTAGTGTTTTTCTATGTTAATGGTACGTTTTTAGTACTTTAGTTCTTTTAACAGTCATTTAACAATATTGTTGTATACCAGAGATATCTACAACCTATAAGTATGTATTATAATCAGATCAGGCTACTAAATAATGGTCAATTCTTCGAAAATAAAAAAATCTGACCAACATTACGAAGACATTCTTTGTAACCTGTGTATTCTGCCCTTTTCCTAACAGCAAAACTAACTCAGTTGAATATAGTAATTTTGGTCAAACATTAACACAATATAGAGATTCACTGCATATGGGGGATATATTTATATCTTAAGCAATCATCTTTTGTTCTGATGATAATAACTTACAGCTTACAAAAAAATTATGATCAGTTTCTAAGAGAGTTGAATAATTCAGAAGAGCTGACCTACTTGTAAATATATATATTGGACTTTACATTATTTGTTTTCAGTAATTGTTTAGGGCTTCTTATGCACTATTTCAGCATAGAGGCATAGAGGCCATTTGCTAAATTGGCAGCATTATGATCATGATGGTGGGTTTGTGGTTTCTGCATCAGAAACAGTAAAGTTGGACAAAGGGTGAAGATGGATAGAGGTAAACAAATGGAGCATGCACAACACTAGAGATATTCACCTTTTAGCAGGAGAAATACCTGAAAATTACAACCAAAGCAACAACAGCTGAGGTGTTGAGGAAGCCCAGGCTGGTTAAAAGGCAGTCTAACAGCATTTCTGATTTTTTTGCTATATTTTTATCTTCATCTCTACTACAATCTGGTCCTTGATCTCCTCAATCTTGCTGTTCTCTCTGCTGGTTGTGCAACTATTTCAACTATACTATTTTCTTTTTTATTCCAATTTCTTATCAATACCTCTCATATAAATTTTCAGTTTTTTATAATCCTTTTTTAAATTTAATTTGTTTTCTCAGCTTTAAGCCACAATCATCAAAATAAAAAGTGCTACACTGCAAACAATTGAGATCTAAATGAGTTATTTTTTCTTCAAATAAATGCATTTTGTCTTGAATTGAGGAGAAGAGTGCGCCCTTTGTCAATGGAACAAGACAATTTACATTTAAAATAAGAAAAAACAATTGCTTTATCTTATTTCAAGTGAATATTTTCTAATTATCTTCTCTTAAGTGTAAAAATACTCATTCCACTGGCATATTATCTTATTTACCTGCTCAAATTAAATGAATTAAATTAATACATTTAATTTAAGACATTTTTACTTATTTATAAATCGTTTTTGCACTCTACAACCTTTTTGGTGTAAAAATCTTTACAGTAGATAATCTATACTGAATTCTAAGTTATTGGTGTGTATCTGGTTTGTTCTACTTACTGTAAAGGCTCTGGAAAGAGAGGAGATGCGTGAGGACTGGGTCCCAAAGGGCCTCGGAGCAACAACTGAGCTTAGCCTTGCGCTATCCGATCTTTGGTAGCTCCTGGGGAGAGAGGCGGAAACTCGAGACCCCCCTGGAGGGTTGGGTTCCATTGAGCTGAACTGTGGTCGTTGCCTGTTGATTGAACTAAAAGAGGGGACCGCCACCTCAGTTTTCGCTCCCAACAATGAGGGCCTCGATTCAGGCTCCTTCTGTGTGGAGGTGGAGGAGGCGGGGGCGCCGTCCCTCGCAGCCTTCTCTCTGCTTGTTCCACCTGCGCTTGTTTCTGCTGGACTCTTCTGTAGTGGAGCAGCTGGTTGAGAGTGGGAGCTGTGGTTGGCAGGAGTGATGGTGGAGCTGGTGATGGAGTTTCTGACTGCAGGACTGTCCACAGTTTCTGGCGAAGAGGGAGGTGAAGGTGATCTACGAGTGGGTGGGGAAGCAGCGGGGGGCTCCTCAGTTTTCACAGAGGGCTTGTAGGACTCAGAGGAATATGATGGAGTGTCGATGGTGTAGCTTCTGGCTGCAAGTGTTCGGGTAGGCGTGCGAACAGCAGGTCTGTCAAATACGTCCTCGTCGTCATCCAAGTGAGAGAGAGATGACAAACGGCTGCCTATGCTGCTTTTTCCTTTATTATCCCTGTGGACAGAAAGGTGAGGTTGGAAAGTTTTAATGTGGCAGTAATTTACAACATTTAGGATGATTTGAGGTGAGCATGATGGGACGAGATGTAGGGCGATAGACTGAATGAAGCGGACAGATTCTCACACTGAAAACACTCATCTAGTCACTGTTTCACAACATAAAACACATCATACATCCTTTCATTACCTTCGCACAGTAAGTTCCCACTCTGAGGGTGAAAAGGTGTAAAAGAGGAGTACATTTATTAAGCAGTGAAGCACCTGGATTTTTTTTTTTTTTTAACCTTAGATCATCGCAGCCTTCCCAGTATGTTTTATTCTTTTCTCCTCACCTCTCCTCTTGCATCTCCTTGAAGGTCTTGGACCTTTTCTCGCCGCCGTACGTGATCTGCTCTATCTTCTCCCGCTCCTCCTTCTTTTTCACTATATCAGAGTTCACACTCCGGCGCCGGTTTTTCCATTTGTTCAGGTCCTGCAAAAAAAAAAAAGAAATATCCTAGATCACTTTGTGCATTCCTTCATTAACACATTTAAGTTTGGGCTTAGATTAAAGCGACAGACTGTCTCACAGTATGGTGAGATCTGGAAGTTGGGGAAGAGAGAAAAAAAAAAACCAAGGTTGCATTTGAAGGTGTTCTATTTGTGAGACTGAAGCTCCTCCCGGCTTATCTCCCCAGTGGACTGTGTGACCTAAATGTTGCTTTAGGATTCCATTACTTTGCCCTGACACCAATCAGGTAGCAGGCAGGAATATTAAGTGACGAGTATATATATATATAAAAAAAACTAAAATGTTATGTATTATGCTTTTTATTGCAACTTAATTGACAAAACTATGAAATAATTGCTGGTTGTCCTAATTTTTCAGAAACTTAAAATGCAGTTACTTTCCTTTTTTTTTTTTTTATATTATTATCTCCTATCACTTCTATTATAAATGTTTGTTTATAATTGCCAACAGAGACATTGCAGATGAGGGCAGTCAATAGCCAGAGGGCAGCACTGCACCAACCAGTTCCTGCCTTTCTGCCTTCAATCCAAACAGCTCTGATTTCAACCAGCAGCTGCAGGCTTATCTCAGAGATCATGTACTCATCTTTCACTTCAAAATTTTCTCTGCCAAAAGCAAACAATTTTCAAGTATTTCTTTAATATGCAGAAAACCTGTAGGATAGACAACCCTAAGTATGTATCAAGTGCCCTCCTCACATTTTGTCACCTTAAAACTACAGCTTCACTGTATTTGACTGGGACTGCACAAAGGTTAGCCCGGTTAAAAAGAAAGAGGACTGTTGTATGGGTACTACAAAAAACAGATCTACTTACATCCTGCCACTTATCCTCGCTGTCTTTTATCTGCTCACGGTACTTCTGGAGCTCTTCGAGGCGGTTCTGCCGGGTGACTGAGGGGTCCACCTGGATGTCGCTTGTTGATTTGCTCCTAAAGGAAGAACAAAAAAGAGGAAAAATAAAAAACACCTTTTTTTAAATATTAAAAATAACTTTTGCTCATTAGGTTTTGGTTAAATACATTTCATACATGCGTCATTTCTTACCATAATGACAGCTCTGTAAAAAAAATCCTGTTAGATATTAATTTTACATAAAGTGTGTTAGTATAAACACCAAAAAGACCAGTCAGAAACAAATACAAGGTGATAAAGGATTAGTTGGTTAATTAACTTTGACTGTTCTTACCACCATCATGCAAACAAGGAAGAGTCCAAAAGGTTACAGTTGAAAAAAAAGCTTCCCTTAAAAGGTTTCACAGAGTTCAGACCTCTAAGCAGTCATAATGGTCACACTGCAGCCCTTAAAATGTATTTTTAAAGAAGGAGCTTTCTGCAGCCCCTTCATTCCCACATTGAACTCGACCCTGCGTTTCATATTGAAAGGCAGCAGTTAGCAGCGACAGCAGATCAAAAGCCAAGAGTGGGACTAGACAGGGGTCAGAGCGAATCCAGAACATGCCACATTTCTGTGAGTCCGTGTTAACTCACCCCTCAGAACTCTCTGGTGTTTGCTGCTGTCTGGGGAACCAGAGAGAATCACAAACAACAAAAAGTCAAATTTTTGCATCCTGCTGTCTTTTTTTTCTATCTGGTATGACTGACGGTATTTGGATGAAAAGCTTGGGGCCAGGCAGAGACTCCTACTAAAGCTTTTCTGTAATTCCACCAAATTCCATCGACTTAGAATCTAAAATTCATCTGCTTGTCCACAGAAGGAGTCAAATAGTTGACATGACAGTCTCACTTTCTATCTGATCTGTCAGCTGTGCCCTATACAGACACTTAATCTCTTTTATGAATGTTCATCTAATTGAAATTTCAGGTGTTAGGTAGGGGAATCCTGCTTTCTGTTAGAAACATAAAGGCTAGCTTTGCTCCTTTTCGCAGGCTGCCTCATATTAGGCACATCTTTTTATCTTGGATAATTTCCTGAATTTTCAATAATTGGAGGACATGGATGGAAGTTCACCAAATGCCCTATTCATACAAGAACCATGGATGATCTGTATTGGGATTGGATGTGTGTCTGGATCTTCCTCACAGACTCCATGGTGCAAACTGAAACTTCATTTCACACACAGCAGTAAAATAAATCCAGAGCTGCGCGTTTCTGGCCCCTGTTCTAGTAAAACTGTTGCATGTACTCTCAGAGCTGTGGGGAATGTCTGTGCTGCCTAATGCTGGCACACATTAAACGACCTGGCTTGTTGTAGTCAGACTGTTGTATTTGTCTCTGCCCTGTCTTTCTGCTGAACTTCGAGTTTTGCATGTTGGTGTGAAGTTCTTTTCAGCTGAGGAATAAAAACACTGACCTCAGGTCAGATTCATGGCTCCTGGAGTTCAACTTATTTCAATACGAAGTCATTAGGATGCTTGTTCGTCTTTATTAAGCATATATGCGTACATTTACAATCCACAGGCAAACTCAGACGTCCAAGAAAAACAAAAAAAAATATAGAGGACAACGTTTGGATCAGTGGTGAACATGATTTATCAAATTTTCTTTGGTCAAGGAGGATATTTTGGGTTTCAGTTCATAAATCAAACAACACATAGGAGCAGTAAATTTATTGCACAACCATGAAGTCCACTTTGAAAGTAAATACCCTCGGACCTCTAAGCCAATATACGCCACATTTTTGCAGCAAAAGTAACTAATGAGTCTTTTTTTCAATATTAGAGGAAAAATATGTTTTAAAACCAGTTATAGGCAGGTAACCATCACCAGCCTAGATAAAGGCTTTTAAACCCACTCTTTTAAAGTTATTAAAGTCTTCCCTCATAGCTTTGCTTTGTTTAAAAACACTTCATATGATGCCAGAGAAATGACCAGGCAGTTTAGTTTGACTGAAAGGTTGCAGAGACTGAGGCAGGTCATTCCATGCTCCTCATATGGATGCACACTGCTGGTCAGCAGGCCCCTCCCTCGACATATTTAAAGGTTAAAATTTTTTCCAGCAACAAAAATCAAAGCAAAACAACCCAATAAAAATATGAATTTTTTAAATCTGCAGCTGGTAAGCAACAGAAAAGCAACATTTTTTCAGCAGCTGACCATCAAACATAATTTAAGGCGGAAATATGGCAACTTTGGAAAATCTACATCTAATAAATCATTAACATCATAACTATTTATAATCTAAAACAGTTTTTAGAACCATATAGTACCACTATTAATATGCAGAGGTTCAAGTAACAAAGTACAAATACTTTTTTTTACCTTAAGTAGAAATTTTGGCTATCTAACTTTACTGGAGTAATTCATTTTAGAGAACTTTTAACTTCTACTCCTTACTTTTTTTTTTTTTTTTTTGCAATTTTCTCTACTTTCTACTCCTTACATTTAAAAATGGAGTTGTTACTTTTATTTAATTTAAGCTCATTTTTGTTATAGCGTGTTGGTATTTAAAACAAAAAAAACATGAAAATAATTTGTTTTATCCAAACATATTAATATATTTTTTGTGGTTAATTAATTTGACACTGTTGTCATTGTTCATAAAACAAAAAAAAATAAGTATAAGGAAGATATCATTCAGAATTGTAAAAAAAAATTACTTTAATAGGGTAGTGCAGTAAAGCATCTCTCCTTAACATTTTTCCTGCATTTCTTTTACTTTTATACTTTAAGTAATTTTAAAAATGGTACTTTTACACTTTTACTTGAGTACGGTAAAAATCTTAAATTGATACTCTACCTTCAACAAAAGTGTTTTATACAGTAGGATTTATACTTCTACTTAAGTAATAAACATTCATACTTTTGACACCTCTGATAGTATGATAAAAACTGTCACTTCACTGATGAAGGGTTAAGCAGTTTTTTAAATGTAATAGCAGAAGCCATGATGACATAACACATAAGTAGGCTTTTGTTTCTTAAAATAAAGTCAGAAAAAAACTGTTGGCGAAATTTTCTTTAACTTTTTTTCATAATTCCTTTGGATACCACAACATAATTTAAGTTTATGAGCAGCAGTGAGAACCTCATACCGGCCCAGAACCAAGTAAACTCTCTAAAGTGTTTCTACAGCAAAAGTCACCACATCTCCTGTGTAGTAATGATGTTTAAAAGTGATCTAGTGAAATAAAGAAGCAGCTGATAAATCTACACAACAGCATGGGTGGATACATTTAAACCTTAATGGATTCATCAGTCAAAGATTATGTATAATCTGACATAAGGGTTATTACACAAACATCAGGAGTTTTGCATCAGTCTGTTTCTACACTTTCATTGCCACAAGCCTCTCTAATAAAAGCTTTCTCTTGTATCTTAGCTGACAGGCTTCTCTGATTGCCTGCCACTTCTGTAAGTCACCTTCACTACAAGAGGAAGGTACAGAGGGAGACGTGTGACCAGGTAAAGGGCCTTTCTGCTGACTCTGATCGGAGTGAAGTCGGAGTTTCCGAACAAGCATGTCATCCTTCTCTGGATGCACCTCCTTTTTATCTTGATCTTGTTTAGTTAAGGTTGCTTCCCGAGTCAGAGGGCAGGGGGGGCAGATGAGTCTGCCTTTGAGTTCAGCAGGGAGGTCCCAGGGCTCTGGGATTAGCATTGGGGCGTAGCTGTCCGGGGCTCCTGAGAGCACTCTCTGCTGCTGAGCCTGCTGAGTTTTCTCTTTGCGATAAACTACATCATCCTGCTCGATGTCTGGGTAGTCATTGTCTTCTGCATCTCTATGAAGCTGTTGTTGTGTGACAATATTGAGCTGTGGTTCAGATGAGTAGAGTCTCCGCTTGGCAGGGAGCCGACTCTTAAACATGGCCAGGTCTACGTTGGACTGAAACGACAGGATCCGCCTGGTGAACATGTCGTCGTTCTCCAAGTCAGGATCAATGCTTTCATAATCAATGGGGTCTGGTGGCTCTCTAGGGTCTTCACGCCCAAGGAGCGGCAATTTTTCACATTTGACCAGTTTGGGACCTGAGGTGGGGTCCACAGGAGCAAAAACCAGTGGTGGGATCTCTAAGAGAGGGGGCTCTATCTTAGGAAGCACTGGGGCAGGGGGTGCCTTGACATGAGGACTGCAGGGTGAGCAGAAGGAGAGAAAAGGATAGAGAGATAATGAGCGCATGCATGGGAACTGGATAAAGGTGCAAGAAAAGCTGGAAAAGTGAAATTTGAGTCAAACAAATGCTGATCAAATGAGGGCTTCACTACTGAATTCTAACTGCTGTGAAATAAAACTGAAGCAAGCTGATTGTAAAATCCGGTAGAGGATGCAACAAATGAAAAATACTAAACAAATTGGAAGCAGACTCTTTGTTAGAGCTTGTTAAGGGAACACTAGTAGCTCGACTATTTTAGAAGTTAATTAGAAAGCAGCATATACCAATTCAGCCCAGAATGGAGCAAATCATAATGTTGCTTTGAAATGCGATGCTTTAACTCGCATCATCACAGTCGTGCAGCTGTATCAACCTTTTCCCAACAACAAGGGTGGTTTGAGCTGGTGTCTCATGCTTGTGGGAGTGAGAGGGAGATGTTGAAGAAGAAGGAGGAGCAGAGGAGAACCGAGGACAGACGTCGCATTCTGAGTCATCAGACGAAGAGCCCGACTTCAGACGACTACAGCCGAGAGCAGCATGAAGAGAGAGGGACAGAGGAGGGGCAGTCAGAGGATAAAAAGGAGGAATCATTGGAGTCTGAGATTTTATCAAGAAGAAAAGTGGTTTTAAAGATTTTTACATGGGTTTAAAACATTTGCTATTAGCAAGCAGTTAGTTAAAGAAAACGAAGCAAGAGGGAAAACAAAAAAACATGAATATAGAGTCTTGGTAAACTCTTCATGCCCCTAGAACTTGTTCACCTTTTGTCACATTAGTGGGCCCAGATTTTTTGATATTTAGTGTCAGAACAAAATACAGTAAGTGGATAAAGTTGTGAAGTGGAAGGAAAGTGATGTGTATTTTATTTATCTAAAATATTGTTTGCCTTTGCATTCAGCCTCCTGAATCAGCAGGTTCTGAAAACCCCTTTTGCTGCAGTTACAGCAGCAAGTACCTTCCGGTAAAAGACTAAAATTTCCAACCATTGTATTTTGCAAAGAGCGCAACTTCCATCTGATAGAATGGAGAACATCTTCAAACATCCACTTCCCAGATAACCTCTTGTTCCTGCGAAAGCAAAATATTTGCACGGCCTGATGATGCTAATGCCATGTTTTAATGTGCAAATGGGGTTTTATCTTACCTCTCTGACATTAATTATACTTTTGTGGAGTGCACAACTAATATCATCTGTCTATAAATATTGTTTTTTATAATCTAACCAGTCTTTTGAGGTTTATTCCTGTTCTGTGTCATGTTTTCCTTGGTCTTTGTGATGCGTTGTGAGTGATGGTAACTGAAAGCCCTCTGAGGTTTTTCTACAGGACCGCTGTGTTCATATTTTATAATAATTAGGTGAGTTTATTAGATTTATTTCAGGGAGGCAGAGTAAGGAAGGGTCAATGCAAATGAAGTCACACTTAAGATTTTTAGGTTATAAGACAAAATGTGAAAAAGTTCAAGAAGTATGAAGCCATGTAATAAGCTGAGGTATATTTATCATGTTAGGAGTCCCTGTTGTTCCCAGTAATGCCACACCTCCACCCCCTCACACACCTGAAGCCTTGCATCTCCTTGTACCAGGGTCTCCTCTGAGAACCCAGTTTGATCCTCTGTACATGAACGTCCTCTTCAGGTGTCCAAAACTTGGGTAAGAACGTGTTGTAAGACACGCTTCTTGCCCGCTGCGGTTTGGCACCTATCTTACGAGCATAGAGATCATCCTGGATGGGATCAGCATAGCCCACCTCATCATCCTCATCTTCAGAGTCGTCATACATGTCCCTGAACAGGCTGTCAGAGCACACGCCCCGCCGGTGTTCCACCCTCACGTAGTGGCGGTCAAGGGACTGAGTTTTCCTGCTGTTGCTGCTCAAAGGAGACAGCCAACCACAAGTGCCAAAAATTAAAAATAGCTTTTCCAATGGGTCAAGTTTAAAAGTCACGCAAAAAAAGCACAGCAGCCTCAAACCAAATGATGTAAGGATTAGAAAACCCAAGCAAGCTAAAAGGCGAACCGAGAGCTAAAAAAAAATGATTTTAGGAACTATGCCGAGAACTCAAATTCCAACTCAAAGCCCAAAACCTTTCAGAAAAAGCAAACATGAATTTACTGCAGCAGGAATCTGTGACTTATCCAAACTGAATCCAGCAAACTGGAGTGTTTGAATCTATTAAAAGGATTAATAGTTTGACTAAAGATGTCGCTGTTGGCTGCAATAAACCATGCAAACAGACAGGAAGAGGAGCATTCGGTTTTAGCTCTCATCACACAGGCACATCCACACGGCATCGTCACGTTCTCTGACCTGTCGCAGGTCACGTTTGGATGAGTGGGGTAAACAGTGACTTTAGGCCAGGGGCCGCCTTTGCCCTGGGCCCCCTGCCCCCTTGCTGAGGGACTGGAGGGCACAGCAAAGTTGGTAGGAGGAGCAGGGGAAGGACTGTGAAAGCGTCTGCTCGCCAGATCGTCTAAGACGAGATCCGGGTCGGGTCGGTCCGGATCTGAGTCGCTTCCGCTCTCGGAGTCATATTCCCAGTGGGAAGGAGCTGATGGTAGGGAGCTCTGGGTGACATGGCTGCTGCCAGAACTTGGAGCGGAAATCCTTGTTTGACAAGATCATCATCCCACAGCACAAGAATTAAAGACACAATGGAGCAGCCTAACATCGTGCAAACTTTTTTCACCAATATATATTTTCATCAACTAAACGGGACAACACCTTTAAGTGGGTAAATAATATACCTGGTGAGCGTTCCTTCATCATCTCCAAAGCTGGAGCTGGCCCAGCTGCGTCGGCTGTCCTCGTTGCGCTCAGCCCTCTTCTTCCTCAGTGGAGCCGGCACATAACCTGACTGCTTGTCTTTGGTAGGTAGGAACTGGTTAAACTGGGCGGTGACTTTGGGTGTGATGACTAGCGACCTGCGGTAGCTGAGGCTGTTCTTGTCAGCCATCCTGAAGCTGGAGTCTGCCTCGGTGTCGCTGCTACAACCTGTATGAAGAAAAGAGGATAGGATCAAGGACTGGTGGCCAGGCTGGAGGACGGAAAAGAAAAGAAGACAAACAAAGCCAGGATATAGAAAAGACTGAGGCTTGTGTTTTGGAGTGACTTTGGAGGAGTAACTGGGGGCAGCAGAGTCGGGGAACAGAGGCCTCTTCATTTACAAGCTGCTGTGGACGACTGTGGAATGTCTCACTGCCCCCCAAGTACTCCAAGGAAATGCTGGGTTGCAAAAAAATCTATTTATGCATACCAGAGAATCAGTTTTACACAAGCATGTCAAAGTTTAGTATTATATTTTTTTAAAAATCTTTTTCAAAGGCCTACCACTAGATGGCAATACAAGTTTGTTTTCACAATTGGGAACCAACTCTCCAAGAAGGTGGGTCTTCTCACTTTTCAAATATTTGAATTCCTTCAATATGAGATTCTAGAACTGGACAAAAAAAAAAAAAAAGAAAAAGAAAAAAACACATGCTTCACAACATTACGGAGAAAGAAAAAAGTAAGCAAAAAAGATAAGATTAAGGAAGAAAGAAAGAAAATCGAAAAGGACGCCCCTCAGAAGTCAAGATTTAAGAGGGAAAGACATATTTTTCACTAACTGAACCAAAATATTCAACATAGCCTGTTCAAAACGATTGCAACAGAAACAATTATTATCCCTCTATTTGTACTTCTGGTGGTTTGCATGTCAATAAACACAAATACATGCTTACCACATTGTTTCTTTAGTGGTTCTATGCAAACTTTGCAGAAGCCTAAACATAACGGTAATTGGTCAATGGATGGTTGTTGAGAGCAATAATTATTAACTCCTAATGATTTCTTAACATGACCCAGAGGAAAAGTTGAACGCAACATGATAATAAACCAGAACTTGTGTGTGGTTCATTTTCTGTAAAATTCTTCAATAAAGTGTATTTCACCAATAAGTGCTCATAGCATGGAGGTCATGAGATATTTCTGTCTGGTTGGAAGCATTTATTCTACATTAGAGTGACTTGTCTTAATGGTAAGTAAATGGCTGAGGGCATTCAGAGTACCACAAGTCGCATTTGGACCAAAGTTTAAGGATTTTAATTTAATCTGAATGGTTACCTTGACTTTTTAATGTAAGGGGCAGTACTGACTAACAAATTCAATCAGGAAAAAAAAAACAGAGTAAGGAAAAGTGGTACCTTCGCTGCTGCCTTTAAGATTGGCGTCAGATGAAACGCTGTGGGGTCTGGAGCCCAACGAGTCCAAACTATCAAACGAGTCGTCCCTCCTGTGTTTACCTCCTCCTCCACCTTCTCTCAGGGAGTAGATTTCCTCTCGCTCCGAGTACCAACTGTCTCCAAAGCCACTGTCTCTAACGTTGGAGCCCTTCGGGTTGTTTGATTCCTGCAGAGCCTTTAATAATAAACTCAAAGTCAGGAACATATCTAAACAATAAGGTACCATCGTAATATTTAGCTCAGTGGTTATTGTCCAGAATGAGTCCAGTTGGATGTGCTCTAAAATCAAAATTTTTAAGCTCATCAGAATTGGCAGCTTCAGATAAAGTCAAAACAAGTTTCCTCTGGATTTTTGTAGTCAGAGGAGACGAACTGAGCAATTTGGCTTCTATGAGAGGAAATACATTTGGAGGAGTCAAATTGAGTCTTTACAACACAACAACAATGTACCAACTGCCTAGCATCAAGCTGTGGCGCTCTTTCACTGTTAGTGGTACTAGTACACCGGACAAAACAAGTAGAATAATATTGAAGGAAAAAAAGACTGCCTCCAAAATGATCAACTTCAACCCTAATCAACAACTGGACAATTAAAATATGGTTAGGGTTAGGTAGGTCTTTCACTGCCCAGTTTATCTCTGTCTGCTACAAATGCAAGTAGTGCAAAAATCAAAAGCTAAATATATGACTCGGTCAAATCTTAAATCAAAGTATTATGGGAATGGATGAAGCAGGCCAAGATTTTGCTTTTACATTGAAGAACAGGGAGCAGCGCAAGGAAAGAAGCTATTGCTTAAAATACAACAAAAACAAAAATGTAAGCTCAACTTAAATTGGCACACCTATTGACAAGCTTAAGGAAAAACATTTAATGGTTTAGTTGAGACAAAAATTAACAATGACAAGAGGAGTCAAAAACCAAAGAGCACTATCAACTGTCAAGCATGGAGGTGGCAGCTTCATGGTGAGAGATTAGCTCACTGCCTAGTGCAATTTCAGTGTTAAGAAATTGCCCCAAACATACATCTAACATGGTTTAAATGAATAAGTTGGTTTTACCTTTTACACCAAAAGGTTTGACTTCACCTACTGGGCCCAGTTTAGAACCAAGGGTCGGTGTCAGAAATATTACATTTTAATAAAACCAACATTTTCTGGTAGGTAATGTATTCAAATGACAACTAAAATTATGTCAGGACATAGCTGGTGGCTAGAAGGTGTATAAATATAACAAAGACTTTTAGAGAAAAGCCCTCACTCTATAGAATTGGACTGGTGATCCCACACCCTGACGGTTTAAAAGTCATTAAAGTTCTTTGATTTATGCTTATAAAGACTGTATGTGAGCTGATCTCATCTGAACTCTTTATTCCAGCAGTTTTAGACCTAAATACATGCACTATCACACATTCAGATAGCATCGTGTTAAGGGGAGGAGGTGTGGGAGATCTCCCAAGTAGATTTTAAAGTCTGTTGACTCGGTTACTGTAAACATAAAATGAATTATAATGGTTGGAAAAGAATGGTGAAATCTACATCAAGAAACCTCATCATTTCCTACCCTCTGTCAAAACAAACTTGATCCCCACACCCTTAATGACTGTGTTTACTACCAGTCGAAAATGTCACTGCACACAAACACATAAAAGCCCTCATCAAACACCAGGGCACCAAACGAGCCGAAACGTGTCACACTATCTAAAAAGAGCGGCGGTTTTTAAGATCTGTAATCTGTAGAATCCTGCCAGACAATACAGGTCCACAAATCAAACCCAGCCAAACCCCACAGCAGCACTGAACTTGGATTAACGTGGCTAAATGAACAAAATGTGCGCTAACCAACTGTTATTATCAAAAATCCCGAGAGTGAGCTGGATTACAGAGGGGTCGCACACAAGCTATAAATCCATGAGAAACACAAGGTGCCAAGTTCAACACTGGCACGAGCGGGAAGGGAGGAGAGGGATGCCTCTCTCAAGAAAAGAAGCGGCTATTTTAACATACAGCTATGTGTGCAGTGTTCTACACGGGATCAAAATAGCTGAATCGAAGGATCGTGTTATTTATGAATTAACGCTGTGCTGGTTTCAGTGCTCCCTTTGGCTGTCTGTGGCCGTCCTTCCACACATAGTCTGCATACCAGGGAAATACTTAAATGTACTGTGCAGTCGCTGCAAAAAAGGATATAAACATGCGCTGAAAAATTATTCTTTTCTTTCATGACAGCACGGATAAAACGGGCGTTATAAATACCTCCTCTAAAGAGGACCTTACCTTGTATAACGCTGTGCCCAACAATCCCTCAAAGGCTTTGAAATTTAGGTAAGGTCCATCATAGAAACGATCACTCTGAGCTCTTCTACCCAGCCAGTAGATGGTGATTAAAACCTAGAGATAAGAAAAGAGAGATTTTCCGTCAACACAGTGAGATTGAAATTAAATCACCTCCACAGAATGCAACTTATTAAGCAGTCTTTGCACCTTTGCCCTCATTGCTCAATGATCTGACCTGTGCTAAAGCACTTGATTGTTCTGCTTTGGTTTCCAGGCTCATCTAGAAAGCAGCACTGCTGTGTGACCCTGGGTTATGAAGCTGAACTGGTAGGCACCAGGCAGCTTCTCCAACAAACATGCACACATAAACAGGTCTGCAACATTTATTGGGGGTCACACCAACATGACAGGTCAGGATAGTGAGACCCCCAGGTCAGGTCTTTGGTTGGATTTGAGGACAGGTTCTTGATAGACTTGGACTCAATGGAAATAGGGTTTTGCACAAAGGATGATTAACCCCAAATCTTTAGGACGAACATATCCACTAAAAAAAAAGTTAATAAACACACTTTAAAATTGTCTCTCATTCTTTATTGTGCATATTTCTATTTTGTTTGTTATTTGTATGTTTCCCCCAATTTAACTAGAGCTGTAGAATATGTACATTTCTGCTTATTTAGCCAAACATGCATGCTCAATACTCCACACAACAACTGTGATAACAGCAACTCTAAGACCTCCTAATGATTAGTAAGGGTTAGTGACAATTGCACCATTTTTTTGTTTTCTATAGCATTATGCAAGACATATTACAGTGACTCTCCATAACTGCTGCCAACATAATAATAAAAGGAAAAAAATCTCTCTCCTTTTAGGGCTTCCTTACTTATATCAGGAAACTAGGAAAAAATACTTTGAACATTTATTATCATAGGAATCTGAATCAGCTTAAATTGTTATCTTCTGGTCAAATGTTTACTGGAGGTCAGAAATCAGCCCTAAACATTGATTGGTGCACGTCTACTTCTAATTTCTCCTATGAATATGACTTATATTATGTTGTTAAACCTATAGCTATTTAACTGGTAATTTCTCAGTGTTATTTAACCCAACGTCTTCAAAACTGCTGCAGTATATTATTAAAATGATTGTTACAGACATGTGAGCAAAAAACTTTGTTTACGCGTTAGCAGGAAGGCAGCTGGTAAAGAGATATCATCCCTGTCAAACTCCATAAATCAGATTTGATAATGTTGTGTTCTGATGATACTGACTGTTCTAAGATTTAAGCTGGAGTTTTTCAATAACAAGAGGCCATAAGAAGCACTTAGATGGCAGAAGATGGAATTTAATCAAAACAATTTTAGGCGACAGTTATAATGAAATTTTCTATTTTAGTAGTTTATATCTGTATATTTCACTAAAGAATGCGGAAGGGGATCATTATTGTTTGCACACTCCATTTTATTTGACCAATAAACTCTATCTAACTTTTAACAGCATAATTTATGAACGAATAGTGATTGTAAATGCTTATTGTTTTGTTGTTCAGCTTTCCTTGTTATCATTCGTCAAACATTCCAAATATCACAGCCTGTTATCCCCTGAGAGCACTGTATCTAGTATATTATGCTCTATGCTTTATAAATATCTAATAATTCACAGAACAACAGACCATTTATGAGAAAACACTCACATTTTTCAGCCTCCTGTTTGTCTCCTGATGCCTGAGAAAAGAGCAAAGAGAGATGTTTGTGCATAAGTGCAAATAATACAAGAACAGGGGGCATCGCTCTGAGCTTTATGTAAGCTGGACAGTGAAAGAGCTGGAAGCTGAGAGCACAATCCTGGTTCCTGTCAGCCCATTACTCCTGTTCACACATCAACACACAGAGGCGGAGAGAAAAACAACATCATCTCTGAAACTGAATCTCAATAATAACATCAAAACAAACCAGTTTTTAAAGCTCCTTAAAGAGTAGATTAAGCAAAGTATTAAAAAGACGTCTGAAAACATTTCCTTCCATTTTAAGGGCGTTGCTGAATTCCTTTTTTATGACAATAAAACAAAGTAGAAATTGAAAGCAAAGCTCTACAGTGGAAGAAAAAAACGTCCTGAGGAATTAACTAGGCTCTTTCTTTCTCTCTGTGGATGAACAGGCTGGGCTAGCTGTCAGTAAATCACTTTAAAGGAAAATCTCAGTTCCTGTGGAGACAAAAAACCCCAGAGTGTCGACATGGGAGCCCTGTATGACTCTCACCTTTGTGCCTTTCTTGTATATCTGTCACTTAGAGTGACAGATGTGTCCGTGTTTAAGTCAGGGAAGGATTTACAGCATTGCCTCCAATTCTGCTGCATCCGAAACATTCCTGGTTTAATGGTGGTGTGCTGATAATAGCCCATTAGCTGGTTAATTACATGCTGTTGTCAGCTCTTAATCACAGAGAGATGTATCTTTCACATACCAACACCTTAAAATGCTGATTGATAAAAGCTTATTATCAAGAACTCGTCCCCTGCATTCATTCATAACTATCATCTATTATCTGTCTGGAATGATCATGTTTACATGAAGCGTTTTAACCTTTGTGATTTGCAGGGTTTTAACTTAGAAACGAAGATTTCACACAATTTCAACTTATATTTTGGATTACAGTTTTCTGAAGTGGTTTATTTTCAGTAATTTCTGAGACCACTTATGGGAATAATAACAAAGAAATCTCCTGCCACAATGACAGCGCGGCAGAAATGCTATTAAGTACAAAGAAAATACAGCCGAGCTAGGGAAATATATACATAGGACCACACATTAAGTTGGTAAATGAGGAATTTCTTTGGTTGGACTACGCTAAGAAAAAAGCTACAAAACCGAAGAAAAATAATTTCACTGGGGTAGTTTTAGAGCCTGTGGCTTGAGATGTATTTACTGTCAAAAGAAACGAGCGAACATCATGCTGCAACAACTGAGCAAAAACCCTGAACATATCTCCCCCAATAAATGCAAACTCTGTAAAGGAACGTAAACATTGGAGAGAAAGATCACTGAGGTAAAAGGCTTCCATAGAGGGATGTCTTATAACATAAGCTAAAATACAAAAATTTATTCTAGTACTAGTTCCCATTTCTATCTACTACTGCTACCACAATGATGATAAAATGTTCACTTGGTCTCTTACATCCTGTAAGCTGTAAAATTGAAATATGATATTGACCTCAGATATTCACAGATATTGAAAATAATAATAAAACTATCTATTATTAACTAATAAGGGCAATCTATTTGTCCAAATCCTTTGGAAATCACAAATGAAGAATAGTTTTTGAAACTCAGATTCATAAGAGCAACTATTTACTATAAAACCAGTGACAAAACACTTCTATAAGGGTGGAAGAAATATCTTAATATCATTATGAGCAGGTCTACACTCCACACTTTATTCTTACTGACCTGATTAGAAACCATGGCACGATTAAAAACAATTTTCAATAAAAAAACTGCTTAGTTACTAAATTAAACCAATAGTATCTCAACAAGAAGCACTTACAGGTATAAGTAGTTTAAAACTAGTATCTAACAGTAGGCACACAGAAAATAACCATAAACATTAATATTCTTTTCTAGAATGAAATTTGACAACAAGAAAAAAATGTTTTTCTGAAGTCCTGTGGAACCAAGCTGTGCTGTAGTATAAATATTAATTTGTCAGTTAAAAAGAAGAGGACATTTCATTTTTTCAATCCATTTCTTCCTCCATAACGTTTATTACTGCAAACATATGTGTTGATTGATACATTTTCACTGAGAACTTCTATTTTATGCAAGTGTGAAAATTCTATTAAAAATGTGAGGCCAACAATGTCTTGTAGATTAAAGTGCATTTAAAACTACAACATTTATAACATAAATATATAAAACTATAACGGAACTGTAGCTACTCATTGGTTGCTGAGGACCCAGACTATTCATGTCAAGTTGTGTGCTTTTTGCCACCTGGTAAATGCAGTATAAGCATCGCAGCAGCTGTCTGGACTAAATTCTGGGTCTGTACCAGAAAGACTTTGTGAGGCCGTCTCTTTTGCAAACAGCCAAGTTGATGGGAAATGTTTCTGCTGGCTGTAAAGTTTAGGTTTTCCCCCTAAAACCAGCTGTGTTTAGTCAGAGAGAGGAATATAGTCAAGTTGTGCTAAATAATGAGATCTGCAGAGTATCCAATTCATTGTTTTTTTTATTTACATGGAAACCCCTTTTCCCTTAAGTGAATGAAATTGCTCTGATTACCGCGCTGCAACCTTCCGCAGCTGAAAGCATTTCACTGGATGAGAAGCGGATCCCCTTTCTAGCAGTGTGCGTCATCTCTCACCAGGACTTTCCAACATGGTAATTTGCCAGCGGTGAAAATTGAAGTGGAGATTTTTTTGGGGGGTACTGCATAAATTTATGGGCCCCATAAAAAATAAGGCAGAGGAAAAAAAATCTCTTTCTTGTTTATTCAACAAAATAAAAAAAATAAAAACTGAGATTATAGCAGTGGCAGCCACAGCAAATGAAAAAGGAAGACTTATATTTGAAAACAACCAAAGATTTATGACCATGTATTAGCAATAGCAACAGCTGAGTAGAGGAGTAGAGAAAAAGAGCTGTTTTTCACATCACTGAAGCCTCGGGAATCGCAAATAGATGTCAGAATCAGCTGAGCTCTCATATGATGAAGCACAACCAGTGGGGAAAATGCATCAGGAGTCTCATCCTCTCACAGGATCAAGTCAAAAAAACTGTGGAAAACTCTCATGTTCAAACTTACACCCACTGACCATTTTATTAGGCCTATCTTGCTCGTACTGGTTTAATATTCATTGCATACATCCAACAAGCTGCTAGATACATTTGCCTGCAGTCCATAGTGACAGCATGACACAGCATGACACGGTTTCTGCAGACGATTGTAAATCTCCTTTTGCAGCCCGTCCCAGATGTGTTTAGTCACCATATTCAAGAAAACATAAAAAAAAAATGTATCTGCAGAACAGCTGCCTACTGGATTTTTTCCTTTCTCTAGAGTAGTCCCTCTGCCACCACCTGTTTCACTTTCTTCCCCATTCAACTATTAAGTTTAGACTGAAGCAAGTCATAATTAGCATCTCCAGATGGCTAATAAGTTCCATTATATTTCTGTTAACTAGCAGCTGAACAGATATGACTAATAAAGTGGAGGTGTAATGGAGGTTTTGATGAAAGAATCCAAAACTGTTCCAATTTATTTAAACTGCACATAATGTCTGAATTTAAAGGTATATATATCTATAAGGTGACTCTATAAATATCTACTGTACAGTAATTGAAAAGGCTCTGACAAGAAACCCAAAGAATTGAAATCCAAAATATTTTCAGCAACAATTATAAATCTTCACTATTATTTTGTTAAAAGTTATTACTGCCTACATCAGAGAAGAAAAAGCTAAATTATTAATCATAATCTAGACATAAGTAATAAATGTTTTCCATATACCTTAATTTTTCAAATCTTAATATTTATTTTCCATCTGATAAAGTGAAAGTAAACACATAAATTAAACAAAACAAAAGCTAAGACACTTGGGCAACTATTCAAATTTTAGCCAAATGTCAGCCAAACTAAGAGTAAAGGAAAGTATCTTTCTAGTTTATTCTTTTTCCTGCATTATAACACAAGTGAACATGGTGTAAAGATCTACAGTTTGATTAGCAATTCATGCAGGTGAAACCTATACATGACCTGAAACTAAAACTGCTCACATGAACAACATACCAGCAAACCTGCTCTGCTTTTACATTTGGAGCACACTGCAAGGAATAAACTGAAATGCATACCTTAGAAATGAAAATGATTGGCTCTTTCAGTCCATCTTCAAGCAATAAAACATTTGATCTGTTTTGTTTGTTCTTTTTTAAGAAATTAAAATCTATAGTATGAAGTAAGTATCCAGACAATCTCGGGAGTACTAAAAAAAGAAGGACACACAGTTAAATTAGTGGGTCTGATCGTGTTGGACATCATTGTGTTGAGCATATATGAGACACAGCAGCCTCTGTGAGCAGGGAGCAGGGTGAGGCTGGCATTGCTCTCTCCAGTCAACTACGGAGCACAAACATAACCCTTGTGTTGGCCTTATACTGCCTGGGTCGCAATAGTGCAAGAGACTTTAATAGCCTCTCGGCAATGCTCATTGTTCAGTTTCATAATCGCACAAAAGTAATGCCTGTGACATATATATAAAACCATGAAACCATGAGTGCACAGTGCCAGCTAAGTGAACCACACCCTCAATGCTGACAAACAAGGCAGGGCTCTCTGCTTCTTTCCTGGATTTATTAGCAGCATAACTTTACTACTAATTTTAAGCAGCTCAACCAAACACACACAGGGTTTTCTACAGTATACAGCCACCTTCAATAAGTTTAGTGCAGTTAGTAAATTTTGTGAGAGGAAGCAACAAATCCTTTGTGGTAGTTCAGACATTTGGTCTATAGCCAAACAGAGCTATTACATAGTGCAACTATACTGCAGAGGATGTCCTTGAAATTCCACAATGGTGAAATAAATCCTGATATAACTGTCAATCTTAAGTAGTCTTCTTTTGTTGTTTGAGAGAGCAGTCACATTTGTCAATTATTTGCTCAATCAAACCGAAAAAGAATCAGACTTTGGACCTGTCTCTGCAGGGGGGCTTGTTTTTTGTAGTTCCTGG